GGCCCCATGGCCAGTGTAGCTTTGTGAAGAGTGAGATCCAGCTTGCAGGGCTCCTTTTCTTGGGTTTCCAGGTTTCACGTGGCTTGGGCCCAGTTCATCTGCGGAGTGCTCACTGTTTGCTTAGAGCCTGGAGCAGAACGCCAAGTGTGGTATCACACGCCTGTAATTCCAGCGCTTAGGAGATAGAGGCAGGAGGATCATCACAAGTTCAAGGCCAGCCTGTACACACAGCAAAGTCAAAGGAAACAAACAAATAAACATGGATCTGGAACACAGTTTGGCTTTCCTGTTTCAACAGGAGAAATGACAACAATACCAAGAAATGGAGATCAGCTTGTTTGCCTCAAAGTTTTCATGCAGGAAGCACTCTGGGAGGCCATGTCAGCTGGAGTCTAGCTAGGTCTGGACAGAGTTTCTTCCTGGTGCCCCACCTGGCCTTGTGGGAAAAGAGCAAAGGCTAGGCCTTGGCCTCTCTGTTGCCTACTGCCTTCAAGTTCCAGTACAAGAGACAGGAAAAGGGGTGCACTTTTAAATTTAGGAAGAACAGGAGCGTGAAATCATTGCTTGTTTTCGGAAGATTTTTCATTTTCACAAGATTCTATCCCACCTAAAACTATAAAGTAGACTTGCCTTGCTTGGATTTTAAGTGGAAAATTTGACCCCTTTCTGAATTTCTAATTTGGGGACAACTGCATTATTTGTCTTTTTGACTGTCTCCAAGTTAGGAACAGCCTGTCTTCCCAAATTGCCCTCGAGAAAGAAAAAAGTATACTAATTTCCCATGAGATTGAATTTTTAAAAAATAATTTCCTTATTTGGTGGTGTTGAGGGGTGGGTGGAGGGATACAGGCTGCACATTCTGATAAGCTGATCCAATAGGCATTCAGATAACACCCAGCCCCAATGCCAGATGCAAGTTCCCATCCATTTAATTTGAAAGTCCTAATTCCTAGTCCTATTTTTTTTTTTTTTTTTTGGTCATAAAAACGCATCTCTTCCATTCAGGATTCAAGGGAATTACATAGAAGTGTTAAATACTGGACGTTTGTTTGAACTTCAGGGACAAGCTGAGGGCCCAGAATTTGGGAAGGGCACTCAGAACTGGAAGCAAGAAGAGGGAAGTGCAGGATGGACTGTGAAGCCAGGCTCTGGCCAGGCCTTACCGCACTCCTGGCCTGTGCCACAGACTGTCTTCCAGCCCCTTGCCGATGCTGGCCATGTGAGCATGTTGTCCCTTGTGCAAACAGTAAGGACAGAAGTACTATGAGGATTTTCTTAAATGAGGAAACTTCCTTAAAGGCTTTAGAACTCATCTCTAATGCTCATGTTTTATGGGTTGGACAACAGACAATAGATTTTTTATTTCTTGCCTAACTTCCTCTTTTTTCTTTTTCTTTCTTTCTTTCTTTCTTTCTTTCTTTCTTTCTTTCTTTCTTT